ATATATATATATATATATATATATATATATATATATATAACTATTTTAAATTTAATGTTATATTCAAATTTAAACCTAAAAAAGATTGAGCATAGAAAAATCTTCGTTTCACCTTGAACAAGAATCTAGCATTCATGTCAGAAACCAGCTTTAGTTCCCGGTGAACGAACTTGTGACCAGACAGAAATGAAATACCTTTGAGACTTGGTGACAGCAGGTATAACTGATTAGCCCTACTCAGCTCTTCCAACTTTGCATAGTACGCTACAATGAGATTTAGACAAAATGTCTTCAAGACAACTTCGAGGTAATTACTAAATTTGACAGAATCCATTTCACAAAATTCCATTAAGCCTGTAATATAGGTGATAAGTCATGAAAAGATCGATTTTTTTAACCCAATCTTAATAACAAGAACTCTTTTGGTCACTATGCCATTAAAGGCAATGAGCTTGATCACACACTTGCTAGGAAGGCGACAACAGTTTTGCGAGGCATAGACCGGCCGATGTCTTTCCACACAATGAAGACCATAATCAGGAGAGAATTCCAGACCTCAAGGTGCAACTAAATTAAAGCTCGAACAAAGGGGAAACAGTGGACAGTGGCACTCTCCGACAGAGCCGACTGGCCAAGAATCGAATCCGTTGCTGAGTTTAAACTACGTACTGGGCACGATTGCCTGGCAGAACATCTTCACAGATTAGGAGTATACACTCAACCCATATGCCCTCTATGTAACCTACAGGAGGAAATGGAGAATATCCACCTGATTCGGTGTTCAGCCCTAAAGACAAGTACGGAAAGCTAAAGATACTGGGAAGCCAGAAGACAGCTAATGAACTGCTATTAATTAACTCCTATATATGGACCCCCCTCATGGAGAAAGCTGAAGTCAACTAAGGGACTAATGATAAATATCATAAAGCCTGTCATTTAAAATAATAATAATAACAAGAACTTCAAACCTCACCCATGATAAACAGCAGCATTAAGCAGCACCATGGAGAAGCTTCCTTGAGAAGTCGCGTTTATGGAATAGCTCCAAATTTTCTCCACATTACTCCATACATGAGTGCGAGGGGTAAATCCGATCAGTTTGTGAGGAAATTGCAGCCAGAGATCATATGCTGCTTCAACCTACATAGAAGAACATTAAACACTTTCCAGAGTTGAGGAAGGGTGTAAGGTCAATGGAACTGACTACCAACCTGAGGTAAAGTGATTGTGTCCGCAACATCCAGTTCGACACTCCATACAGCTAGAGTATGAAGCTGTTTAGAAGTTGGCCGGAAACGGTTAGATGGAGATGGGATACCATACGTAGAAGATTCTGTATTTTTCAGAGGAGGTGGAGCAAAGGACAACTCTACGGGAAGGTCATTGTATAGCTGAGCAGATATTGTTTTCTCTGATAGTGGAGACGGGAAATTACACTGCCACACAAGAACAGCCTACAAATTAATCAATATAATGTTAATTCTTCCCCTTTAGGGACAATTATAAAGGTTTGATTAATTGAATACAGATAGTAAAAGAATCAATATGAGATTCTTTGGTATTTTAGTCTTACAGAAGACAGGGAAAGCTGAAACGCCACATATCGAAATCCAATTCTCAATCCCGACATCGAATTCAGTACGAGTCAACTAAAAAACAAGCCCTTCGAGCTGAGTTATAATGAAAAATTATTTCAAATTCCCTTAAGTAAATTTCCATGGCGTTTCCCAATTATTTCCACTCCCTGACCAAATATGTTCTAGTTCTTTGATTAGTACATCTTAGACCACCTCTATTGATCATGTGGCTAAGAAAGTAGTTCCATATGTATGATTCAGTGGACATGAATTGTAATAAGGTTTGGTCAATGAACGGATTAATCGTTCGCTTCTAATAAGCCATCTGTTATTGAGCACATTCACATCATAATACGCGTAATATACATTGTATTAGATCGAAAATAGTCTTGAAAACAAACCTTCTTGAGACGAAGTGATCGCGTAAACACGGAAGCCAGTTTCTTCAAGCGATCCAAGTAATCAGAACAGAAAGGTTGACGGATTGTAACCAGGAGGGTGAAGCCCTTGTCAATATACTTTTGACATCTGACAGGAAGATCTGGAGATGGATATGAGCACCCTTCAATACTAGTCGACTCAATAAAGAGAATACGACCTGGACTTCTGTTCCAGAGTTCATAATTTCGTCGTTGTAAAGTCAATCGATCACGTATTGACTGAGGGATAAACGCAAGTTAAATATGTTTTAGCGCGAAAGAAAATACGTAAACAGCAAATGAGAATAGCGCATTAAATCACCACAACAACTAAAGAATGAAGCAAAGGAGTTAAGAGCCCAATAGAATTAGGCACAACGAGATGGTAAGCCACTAAATAAACGTGCTACCGAATTGGGCTACTTTGTTTCCCTAAAAAATTGCATCAATGGTCAACGACAATAGGAAATGAATACGCGATTACAATAGAACGATTGATCAAGCACCCAATTAAGAGTTCGAAAATGCCACATCGAAGCAATGTAAAGGGTGATGAAGGCAAAGTTTACAAAGCATTAGTTGATTACTTTTTGGGGGGTGTATTAACAGTTTTCAAGCGCATTACGTTTCATTTCGAAGTTTAAGTCCTTCCGCATCAAGATACACAATGACGAATAGAATAGTTAACTGAAACCCACTCGAGTAATGGAAGAGAGCAACGCGAATTAATATACTTCGACGGAAAGAGGGAAGAAAGGAACAGACGGAGTTTCACTGTAAACCCAAGAAGATGCAGTGATGGAAACGTCTCTACGGCTTTAAGGAGAAGGTTTCGGAGATAGAAATGAATTAGAAAATCTAGACAGCCTACATGAGTAATCTCGAGTCTTGAAATAATGCTACATCGTTTCTTGAAATGACATATTAAACTAATAATTTAACATTCGCTTACCTTCCATCTCTTGGGGGCCAACACCACCGGCCCTTAATCTATCAAAACCCAGCCCAGATAATACACACAAAAACACCTCAGTAAATGGGGAGAGAAAAGTACCGTATAAAAATCCCCTTTACCAAATAGTGAAGGAAAATGACCCTCGAGGGAAACTCACGAGTAAATAGACTCATGTCTCGATGGGATCATTTGAAGTTACACCCTAGGCAACAATCTACTGTGGGAAGCATAATCGATTATCGCGCAAAATTTGGATAGATTTGTTAGGCACGAACAAGGCAAGGACTCGACTTCTAAACTTTGAAACTGAAAAAGCTGACTAAGTAGAATATTGAGAAGCTCTTTAAGCAGGAGTTGAAGAGATGGAGAAAAAAAACGATAAAGAACTGAAGGTTAAGCAGCATTATTCAGATTCACCACTTAAACTTACCAGGAGAGTAGCGTGTACAATGGCATCAACAGAACGGAAGTAGCTGTTCCATACGAATCGTACCTTCTCTCGCATCTGAATAATTCGACTTTCAGGGATGTTGCGCAGAAGAACTGGAAGACGAGTGAGGGTTTGTTCATAGGCTAAAATAGCTATCTGACTCCAATCGATCACTTCTGCAAACGGCAATTCCCAGTCATTTGCCAATAATACAGGGATGCATCCTGCCTCTAGCACCTCCAAGAATCTGAAAATATGGTTCGAAATTTTTGTGAAATATGTCAAATATGAAGCGATTGGAATAGGTTTTATAAAAAAATACTACTGAAGGGCAAAAACTTAATAAATACATCTAGATCATGCAAACGAGCAACAAGGATCCTACCTTTAGGGGATTAAGATCTACATGAGGCCAAGGTTAGCCAAAAGACACCGAAATTGGGACGAATGATGAAAGTAAGGGCCAATCTTTTCATCATAAAGCTTGTCGGTACCGACAAAAAGGATAAATTCAGAGCTTAGTGATAAAATATATCCAAATCATAGCTTTCCGCCAAAATGAATCTATGGCGAGCATGAGCACATTTGAAAGCTATGTAGTCGACTTCACAATATCTGCTATCCTTTTACTCTTCCTCATAAATAAAACAATCTTCGACTTCAATATCCAATAGTTTTTTTAAAGACTCGAAAGACTCAAACCGTTTCCACTCATATCTGACCAATTTTAGCGCCGAGATGTAATAAGTGATCATGAAATGTGTCAAACAAATATATTGGGCTGCACTTAAGGGTTCTATTCCTTAAGAAGGAAAGGGGAAAGCTCTATCATTCACCTTAAATGATAAATATTACCAACTGCTTTCTATGTACCTAAGAGATAGCCACTTCGTTCCTTAAATTTCACTAGTCCTACCAATGGAATTACAGAGGAGGCTATCACGAAAAAATCTCATCATAAGTCTTCGTGCCAAGTTCATTAAAATATAGACCACCCCTCCACCCCCAAATATAACATCAGCTAGCGATTGCAATTCTGTCCGCTTTATTGGATCCAGTCTCCTTTGATCTATTTACGTATACCGTTAGCTTCTCTAAATCCTTCAACCTTTGTTATGCGAAGCCAATTGGAGTTGCAAAGCCTAATTATCCAAGAAGGTAAGAGTCAAATTTCTTCACAACATATAGCCCCCCCCCCCCCCCAACTCCCAAATAATCACAAATATCTCCATAAAGCGCAAAAACTCCGAAAAAAACTGAAATTAAGAAGAGAATATATGAAAAAGGAAGATATGAGCGGATACTGAGACGTTTTGTTTTGCACTCACCAGAAAAATTATGGTGAAAGTGAATAAGAGGAGAAACGCACCTGAACGAACCTAGTCGACGACCGCGAGGAACGAGACAGAAGGTGGAGTTATGAAGAAGCTCCTCGTAGGAGACCCTGAAGAACATAGAAAGATAACTGAAACGTGGTAGGATGAGACAAATAAATAACCCCGTTAATCAGAGAGCATATACTTTTTTAGTGCCAATGTGGGCTAGACTTACTTCCACGTGGTGCACCCTGGGTAAAGCATACTCATACGGCAAAAGAGTTTATAAACCGGCAGTTAACTTCTGACTTCTAACTACCATGACCACATTGTATGCCATTTTCGACCACATCCACAATACTCATCTTACCTTTTCTCTGTCTTTGCATCTGTCTGTTTCTTTTACATCTGTGAATCCCTCACCTGTCTCTCCCCCCTTTTCTACTTTTTATCACTGTGATGTTCCTCCCTTCTGTGAAGCCCGAAGTCAGCTAAAGGGCTAATGATAGCCATCAAAACGTCTGCCATTGGAAATAAATAAATACTTAAACTTAGTTGCAGCTGGATCATAAAAGGCGAAGGGAACATGAGATACAGATAATGTTCAGGATGCTGACAATGGTAACCAATGGGTGAATAGATTGGTTTGTGCACTACCAACTGACTAATGGCGTTTATCAACAGAATTCATCCCTTGTTAGTGATATTTCCTATTTAAGGGCATATGCCAATGGCATGACTGGATCTGAACGCGTTGATAGAGCCACCGCCGTCGCCGACAGAAGTGGTCAAGGCCGATGAGGGCCAGCTCACATTAGGATAAAACAAAATCTTAAACCAATTAAAATCCAACAGGGGTTATGTATTTAGGACCGAAATAGGACACCTAGGTAAAAGATAGGTCATCAGCACCATCGAACCCAGAACTGAAAGAAAGCGTTTTCAATATATTGAAAATTATGCGCTACTAAAAGACTAACAAATCCTCGCTTTTCGAAATCAATGAAGATACCTCTGGACGGTGCTGTATAGAAGAAGAGTTTGGTCAGCAAAAAGGACTTTGGCATTCAGAGGTATAGCAATCGGGAGCTTAGAAGTTAAAGGATTCCAGTAAGGACAAACCAATGTAATTTAAAATGATTAATTTTAAATTCATTTGCACATTGAAAGTAAGTGTAACTCCAGGGGAAAAGTGCACTTCATAAAGTAGTAGGTAAAATATTTCTCCTTCCACAATGTATTTAGCAGTTTTTCATTGAGGAAAAAGCAACATTTAATGCTAAGTTAATTTAAGGTCGTGAATGGACCAAGATATAGCTAGTTATGCTGCCCTTCAGAGACAATAGTGATCCTCACTCACGGAAAGTGGGAGAAATTTTTTTTAAAAAACAGTTAGATAACCAACAAAAGAACCAGTTTAAATCAGTAAATTTAAGTAAAGTTAAACGGCGTATGTGATGATGAAGACTTACGTTTCATAGTAGGCATTGTCGATCGGGCAACGTGAATCGGCGTAGAGATTCCAATTATCCATGTGCTTACAAGTAGTGGCAATGACAATGTCCTTCCCACTGTGAATATGATAAAGGGAGTTTCTTGTCTCAGATCCTATCCCCACCACATAACGCTTTCCCTACAAAAAATAACTATACTTAAACCAGGAAACAGATATATTAATTAAAGGGAAGACGTGCCTTAAAACTAGCCATGAATTTTAAATGAATTCTAGCATCAGGTGGAGGCGAATACCGAGGAATTTGTCCAGCGTCCGGATAGTTTGAAGTAACGAGAGGAAATGAGATATCAAAATTCCGACGCATACGGATCTTAGAGGATGAAGCACGAGCCAACATTGCACTGCCAACATCCATATTTAGCTCATCAACATCATAGTACGGCCAGGTGCCAGAAAAGAGAATAAAGAGAAGATGGTTCATCCCAGGTCGATGCTGAGAAGCTGCAGAAGCAAAAGTTTTGTTAATTATCTAATGAAATTAATAATATAAAGACTAAAGGCAAACATAAATACCCTGTCTACTGGTAGTTGGTTGAGATGACCAGTATGGCAACTGAATGATGCGCTTATGAAGGTCTGTGATGTAGTGATTACTACGCGGGTCTCGATCTAGTGTATCCAGACTAGGCACAAATATACAAGCTACTTCAGGGTTATCTGTATAGAAAGGTGATCGCCGAATGGCAGAGAGAATCTTTAAATAGTTTGTAGATATCTTTGGAGAATTCGGATCATCGGGATATACATATACCTAGCGAAAAATTTGACATCAAGACATAGATGACGATAAATACCTTAAAGTGTGAGCACCGCGTACTATCGAAGCAATTATCCATGGTGCATTTTATGACCTGTGTTTTGAATAGCTTTGGAAGAGGAGATTCGAAATTGTTTTCAAAAAAGTCATGATTCTGTCGCGGCAGTTGTGAGTTCCATATGATTTGAATGATAAAGAAACAAAATAGAGAAAGTAAGCAGAATGCATAGCATTTGGAACGAAGAAGGAAGGATAAGGCTTTCGTAGCATATCTTTTCATGTTTCTGAAATGGAACAAGTGTATAAGTATATTTCAATTAATGATGGTAATCAAAAACTTTAATTACAAAATAATTTGCATGAACACTGAAAATAACTGATTAAATAATTAAAAGAACCCTAATAAACTAAATTAACCACTAGCTACAAGAAATTAATATGATTATCTTTAGTAATTAGCATGTTCAAACCATACACACCTTCACATTTACTCGAAATAAATTATACCACGAACAACTTCATTAGGTAAGCCAATAAGCACATTGATTGATGACCTAAAATGTGTTTTGAAAAATTAAAACCAGTTTGCAGCTTATTAATCATTTTCAAAATTTAATAAATATTAACTTGATTAGAAAATTAGTTTTGCAGTTTATAAATGGGATTATAAGTTAAAAATCTTTGCAACCAATCTTAATTATTTTTATAATTATAATTATAATTTACACGTATTTCCAGGAAACACATTTCCAAATTAATCCTTTGATTATCTTGGCAAACTTATCAAACTTGAATCCTTTTCATATAATCATTAATACTCATTTTAGTATAATAATTTCATTTATTTGTTCAATAACCGCTTTAAATTAAGTTGTGTTTGCTTAAACAGTATTTTTGTCATTTAGTTATTTCTGTTGGTAAAGTTATGAAATCAGCTTACAATGTCACTGTAAATTTGAATCATAAAATGATAAATCATTTTATGCAAAATGTGAAAAATGGTAAGTACAGTTATGAAATTATTTTTGATATTTTGTTTTCTACTTGCTTGATATCTACATATGGGTACTTGCAGTAAAATGTATGAGCGATCATGCAATTAATTGAATTACGGCGCTATCAAGTGAAATACACCAGTTACGTATAATTGAAGCAAATTATTTAACGTTTCACCATTGTTTACTGTTGTCTTTGATGTGTTAATTACATCTATTTAATCTTTTAGGCAAAAAAACGTTTAGGTTGGTAGTTAACAATATTAGTAGTTCATTAGACGCTGCTCTGTTAGCTATGAATACAATCCATTAAACCATTTATTTGAATGATTTATTCATTCTGTATTCATAGGGTGCTACATTGATAAAAAAATCCATTATCCAAGTGTTTGTATTCAGCCTTCGTTGCAATAAACAAATAAATGATATCCCTGGAAATAAGTTTTTGTTGTAATATTTGAAAAAGGAATATCAGTCACGGAGATAAAAATGATAAACAACTAGGGTCATGACCTCCACTACACCTTAACAAAAAGCTTCATAGTCTAGACTATTTAAGAATGCTCAGCACAAACATAACAACGAATCTTTCAAATTTCTTAAAAGTGAATCAAAATACCTCATCCTCGATCACAAAGGCATTGAAAAAGAACTCATTAAGTATTGATTTTAGTGGTGATTGTCTACCAGTCAAAGCACTCTAAACTTTCCCTTTCTGCATCTGCACCCACTGCTAATAAAAATCCACCCAATACTCCTGCTCCGTTCCTTTTTGAAATTCAGTCTTTGAACTCAGATACCGTTCACCCTATAGTCCCAAAATCTTCCATATCTTCACCCGAAGTGCCTCACACTCGTTGTATACAAAGAATTACTTTTCCTTCTCGACTAGTCAGTAACTAATTACCAACAAATTTCATTACCTTCTTAGCATCGTGCATCGCTTTAGAAATTGAATATTGTGGGGAGTACAATGCCGCTATGGCTGAACAAGGATAGCTCTTACACTCTCGAACACTCTGGAACAGGCGGTGGTGGTGCTGATCGCGTTAGGGAGCATGGGCGATCGTGAGAGCAGAGTCCTCTCAACTACTCAATAATGAATGGTCGTTACAGGGTCAACCTATCCCCAAACAGTATTTAATGACTAAGCTCTGTTTCAGGGTCACACAGTCACAACAGACGCATTACACGTCTTACCTTTCCAGAGCTTTGTTTTTTTACTAAAATAAATGCTGATGCAATAGAGTATTCTTTCTCTGAAAGAGCTGTTATTCATATAATTTTTGGATTTTTAGGGATGAATTTGTCGAAATCAAGGTAATAAATAAACTAGTAAATAACGGCACTGTAAAGGAGAGTTATTGAAAATGCACACTTTTATCTTCTAACACAGTCATAATCAGACTCCAAGCCAGAAAAGTGAAAAAGGACTGACGTGGTCGAAAAAATTTAAAGACTATTATTCATAGTTTTTCCTGCAGGTATTGCTGGTGGTCGAATTCAGCATCCATCGTACTTATTGCAACTCGCTTTTGTCATCCAGGCTTAAGCAGATTCTGTGACCAGCATATTTCACTTTGCCATAAGGTACCTTCAACTTTGTCAGATTGCGTTTGTCATTTCTATGAGAATTTTAACACTGTAACGTTTATATAAGGTTGCAGGTGGAATGGTCATTTTTGAGTGAGAGAAGCATTAGATAAATTATAGAGAAAAAGTATCAATTGCAATTTCGGGATGCTCCAACACCGTTTTAAATCGTTTAAAGTAAATTTTGCTAATAATTCCGTATTATCGCCTGGCAAAAGGGCAATGGAAATCGTCTTGTCTAAATCTCATTGTAGCGTACTATGCAAAGTTGGAAGAGCTGAGTAGGGCTAATCAGTTATTCCTCCTGTCACCAAGTCTCAAAGATATTTCATTTCTGTCTGGTCACAAGTTCGTTCACCGGGAGCTAAAGCTAACATCACCACTGCTGGTTTCTGATACGAATACAAGTTTCTTGTTCAAGGAGAAATGAAGATTTTTCTACGCTCAATCTTTTTGAGGTTTAAATTTGAATATAACATTAAATTTAAAATAGTTATATATATATATATATATAAATCTTCCTCAGACCAGAATTCATTCAATTTCTGTTACCCCCAAAAGTGTCTCTTTCTTTATGAATTGCTGGTTAACATTTCGGTCAGGAAATAGCATACTTTCAAAACATTAAAATTTCTTGACAATTTTGCCTCTGTTTGAGCTAGAAGTCTTCTACCTACTGGGTCTGAATAACCATAGCCTATGTATTACCTCCCATCGAAAGGAATTGGTCTTGTAATATTGATTGTAGGCAATTTTCTCTTAGGAGTTTCACACGATGAGTCATTGCTGACCATTGGCTAACTATTACAATAACTCGTAGGTACTACCATAACCTCTATTGGAAGTTGACAAGTGAATTAATGCGAGAGACTGTTGATACCATGGCCACCGGTGAGGATATTCTCTTTAACTGTGTTGTGAGTTATGCTTCGCAATCAGCACCACTTCTTCTCTCGACCAGTAAGACAACGTCACAGTGCACAAATTGCCCACCCAGTGAATTGACCAATTACATGGGCACTCCTGACTTTGGAACCAATCAGACACGGCCCAAAGTGGAACCTGATGAAGTGCTTGCCTACAGACATACCTGTCTTCGTGCCTTCTCTAATGCCTTCCAGTCCCTACATCTTTCAGCCAGCTTTGCGGATCCCGAAAATGGAAAGCACTTCGGACTGGCGAATTCCATGCAATTTCCCTATCTTCCTCTTTACTATAGCAATCTTCGGTAATGTCGTTTGTTGTGATTTATTGAACACTTGTAGCCAATGCATTTTGACCTGATGTGTTTTTTTTCCGTTTCCAGATTTGTAATTTCTGAGGCTTGAGCGTAGATCGTATCCCTGTAATAGGAATGTTTTTTTCTTATTTGTGGCCTTTACGAACAAATGTGTATCTTATATTTTTGTATCCCATTCACTCGTGACTGCATTATTAAATGTGGAATTGATTTGACTAGGAAATATGATGAGATTGTTCTGGTGAATAAGGAGGGCTTGGTTTGTGAGGGTAATGAGTGGGTGCTGGAAGATTGTGTATGGGGTCGTGGAAGAGCGTATTGCAGTCCACAGTGAGAGTGAAGTGGGTTAAAGAGCCATTCGAATAGTGCCCTCCACCTTTAACTGAGAGGTTCACAAGAAGGAATTTTGGTGACCAAATTCCATCCTAATACTGAGTAGGATTTAGCATAAATTGCAATAGTACACCATTTGATGGGAAGGTGTGCGCTCTTCTTAGAGTTATCTGTTTGGAGTGCTACAGTTCTTGTTGGGTGGTGGAAGGAGTCCAAAGACCTCTTGGAAATCAGAGGAAGTGGAGTTGACTTGAGCCATAAAGGAAAGGGGTGGGAAGTTTGAGAGTTGTCAGAAGTGGGAAGGGGGAGGGAGAGAGAGACTGGTCAAAACTGGAGCTGAGCTTTTGAAACATTAACTTAATTTCAACATAACTCGGGTATTGTCAATTTGAAATGTTTTTGAGTGATTGTAGTATCGGTGGGATAAGATTTTAAGCCCGCCAAGTTTGGCTTTGAGTAATGTGCTTAATACACTTTGCCTAAATTTCTTCAC